AGACATGGCACACAGGCAGGTGACAGTGGATTTCTACATCACAGCTCGATCTTCAGCTTTTAAGTGGAAGCTGTGCTTTTATTCCTAAAATAGCCTTTTGTTCCAATTAGCATCTTTCTGGTAGCAGAAAGGGAGCAATGAGTAGAGTACGGTGCTACAGAACACAGAGAAGGGAACATTGTCTTACAGAGCTCTGGGGGGTTGTCCTCCAGATCGCCCAAAATTCTTTCCAAGTAACGTGTTAAAATATCGGTAATGCAGTGACTCAACCATATAAACAGATGGAGTGAGTAGTGTGCAGCCAGTGATTCAGCTAATGTACAGCTCTGGAAAATTCAAATTTGATTTAACATGAGGAGAAATATTGAATAAGACATTTCTAATTTTTCCTTTTGTTTAAGGAGGCTTTAAGTAGGTTGGTTTTTCTACTGAACAGAGAGGGTGGGAAAACATAAGCCAGTGGAAAAACATAAGCCAGTGACAGCCGATTCAAAGGATGGCATCCTTGGTCCCTGCACAGCAACTCCTTGCAGTAGTGCTGCACTGCAGTGCCAGCTTTTGGTCTGAGCCCAAGTCCTGCTGTGGGACACGAGCTCCTAATTTCTCCAGAGGGAGTGTTCCCAGCCGAGTTACACAGATCTCCATGATCTAGTTCAAGCAAAGCTTAGCATTTATTTGAACTGAGTTAACTCATTAATTTTGGCTTTAAAATCTTAAAAGCTGTATTCACTATAAAGTAAATAACATGTTTTTTCCAGGTTCCTCCTATACCATGTAAAGTTGTGGCTGCAGATGTGAATGTGCTGTGCCTGCAAACAGGGCACACTAAGGCTGCTCTTGGGAATGTTCTCCAAACAGCCAGAGGACATCTAAGTTGTTGACATGTCTTACTACATCCTTTTTATTCCCTTGGAGTGATGAAAGGAGAAACTGGTTTTCTGCAGAGGCCTCTCATTGTCAGGAGATCAACACTTTAGAAACTCACCTGATTTTTATGGAAATCTGGGGGTAACCCTGCTCTCCTTAAATTATTCCTGTCTTATCACTGCAATTACAGGCTTTATTCCACAAGTTAGGAGTACAGATTACTGCCACCTGCATGGAAGTCCATCCCTTCACCTCTATGTAAATGTTGCCTTTGAAAGCTTAATTATGAAAGAGTTGCCACGTACACAGTTGAGAGGCACAAGAAGTGATCTGAACAGGTTAAATGCAGGTGAATGTTATGTTTTGCTCACAGCTGTAATATTCATAACGTGGTAATTGCTGCAGGATGTCAGAGTAAGCTTAATTCCTCTAGCAGCTGTATGTAGGATAGAGTTTTTCCCCCCCCCCCAATGCATTTACACAGTTCTACTAATCCTACATTGATACTGAAAGTGTATTTCACAGAAGAGATTTGGGAAAGTGTTTGTGCCATTTGATGAGACAGGACCTCAACAGTTCAGTGTGTGCAATTATTTGTGCCACCTGTGAGGAGTGCTCTTATATATTGGGGACTGTTCTAAGTAGTTAAGTAAGGTCCTGACTCCACAAACCTCTCTGGGCATGCTTTAAATTATGAGCTATACTTCATAATTTTATTTAATATGTACAATGTGAAGAAGATAACAGAAGGTAGAGAATCTGAGTGTTCTGTTATTTACCTGAATATTGTCAAACCCCATTTTTATGTACTTGTGATTTGCTATTACGAAGTATTAAAGTGACATTTCATTCACCCTGGCATGTGGCTTTTGCTTTTTTAGAAAGAAAAGCAGCCCTCTCGGCACTGCACTGACGTGAGTACACCCATACCAACGGGAGATCAGAGTATAAAACCTCATTAGCTGTGTAATAATCCTTATAAGATTTGTAGTATGGAGAATTTCCTCAGGAGTGCTGTCTTCCATCCTATGGATTGTATCCTTACTCCTTTGCAGAATCGATGAGGGACAACACTCTTAGTTTGGACAATCAGAAACAGAAAGGAAAGGCACATGTTCTTTCTGTTTCATTTTATTGGGATTTTTTTTGTTGTTTGCCTTTGGATCAATCATCTCAGTTACTTCTTCATTCTTTTCCCCTGCTGCTCCTGTTTTCCAAGTTGCCAGCTTCTCTCAAGGGTCCTGCAATTTTTAGGGCTTTTCTCAAATCTTCATCTCCTGGAGCCATTTCAGCTGTGACATTTTAAAAATTAAGATTAAGCTTTAAATATTAAGCCTGCAGAAGCTGTATCAGCGATGACTGAAGACAAACTGAAAAGTAGGGACCTCTTGACAGTGAGTGGGATCAGAGCTTTCCGTGAGCTGGAAGTCACGGATTTGATCAGGAATGATTTTTAGGTTACTTTCTTGTGGAAATGAGGTTTATATGGTCATGTCATGTAGGTAGAGGTATATCTGAGGGTGTATTCATGTTGTTTAATAATGTTTGAATCTACTGGCTTACTCCAAACAGGATTAAAGCTGACAGAATAATTTAATTCCTGTGACTTTCATGAAAATCAGTTGTGGAGCAGGGAGGATGTATCATGTTCTCCCTGGATCTGCAGTAGGAACTTTTGGGCAACAGCATGCACTGACTAAAAAGAAATCTTAAATAAATCACAACTTTTGAAAAGATTTCAGTTAGCACTTGCACCTTACACCCTAAAGGTAACAAACCACAAAGAATAGACGTGGGCAACCAGGCTTTCTTCATTCTGATCACAAGCTTTAAGATCAAGGGAGTTAAAACATCTACTGAAATCACAAAAAGAATAAGAGGCTGAGGAGTAACTTTAACTACAAAGGCAATCAAAATATGGGATTACTGGGGTTGAGGGGGAAACAATAGATCAGGAATTTCTACACCTGTTGTGCATGAGGGGGGAGCTCGGAGTAGACAGTGGCAGCCAGGAAGGGAAGGAAAAGCAAAGGGAAGCAGGAGGAGAAAAGAAAATTCAAGTTGGGAAAGGCATCAAGAAAGGCTTTGAAGATCACTGGGAGGAGAGATTAAACAAAGACTAAATTAGTTTTAATTTAATCTGTTCATTCTCAGAAGAAATCAGTGAACTCGTATCCAAAGAAGTGCAGGCGAGGCAGAAGGAGAACAAAGGGGTTGCAGGGAGAATCAAATTTGAGAAAGAGGCAGGTCTGGACATGGGAAGCAGTTAATTTTAAGCACTGTTTAGTGAATGTGTCACTAATGAATGTGTCAGGGATAATGAGCTGAAACTTGTGGTAGAAGCAGCCAACCTGGCCACAGGAACTGGATGAAAGGTGTTACACAGCACAGGAGCGGAAACAGAGAAAGAGGCTCTTGTGAATGAGACAAACTAAGAGTTGGTTGGGTTTTTTTGTCGGTTTGTTTTTTTTCCCAATCTTGTTTAAATCAATCATTCCCATTAACACTGAGCCATGATTTGCACATCTGAGCGCTCTGGATTAGAAGAGCTCAGTTCCACCCTCTCTAACTTGGTGTAGAAGTTCCCTCTCTGCTCACAAGCCCAATGTCAATGTGGTTCTGACTGTGCAGGGGAAAATAGCTGGAAAAGGAACTCCTGTGAAGGCTCCAGGCAGTCTGGCGAGGGGATGGAGCAACTGTTTTGTCAGTGGACAAATGGTGGCAGTGTGCACAGGGTGACAAGATTCCTGAAGCAACTGTGCTGGCTGAGCAGGGTCTTGACACAGAAGTGACGCGCAGAGCACTGAGGGCAGACGTAGCTTGCAGGAACATTTAAGTAGCTGTTGCTATTGCCAAACTATTAGCCAGATCTTTAAAAAGTGGCCTGGCCCAGGAAAGTGTTATATAAAACAAAAAAACCCAAACAAACAAAAAAATAGCTGACTTGCTACTGTTAAACCAGGAAGAGATACATGGACCATGAAAAAATGTAGGATATTCCCAATTTACTGGGGACAGGATAATCAAATTGATTCCCAGTGGCAGCTTTGGAGAGGGACTACAAGAGCTGCTTTGGGTTTAAACCGAGCTTCCTAAAATGAGATTTACTTTTTATGTGTCACCTTCTTCCTCCCCTTGCAAACCTCTGCTCTCAAAGCCGGTGAGGGGTTGTGGGGACCTTTCAGAAGATGACAGATCTATCACCTGTGACATGAATGACTCAACGGCATTCCAGCCCTTTTGCACAGAAGAGACACTTCTTAAATATCCCAACAGCAAAACTGCCAAGCCACAGGGCACCAGTCTGAAAGCACATTCCTGACACTTTCCTGCCCCTTATATAGGAATGATTTGGGAAAAGGAGAAATATTTAACAGTGGTAACTCACGGGGGAAGAAGCTGTGACGGCACTGGTTCCTCCCAAGGGGAGTTGCAGCACAAAAAATCCCACGCGTGGTCAGCACCTTTATTTCAGGGCATGGCAGGACCCGAGCAGCACCTGATCCACGGGCAGGATCCTGAGGGACAGCACAGGTCCGCCCTCACTCAGATCCCGCACTTCAGGGTTTTGGGGAGAACAGGGGGGAGCAGGTTTGGGGGCTGGAAGGATCATAAGGATCAGCCGGGCAGTTTCACCCCACACAGGCCGGAGAAGTTCCTGGCACAGCCTGTGAGGAGCCTCCAGCGCGGCTCCCGCACTCGCGTCTCCCCGGAGCGACCCCCGCCCGCCCCAGGCTGCTCCCGTGGGCATCCCACAAGGCGCGGGGACTCGCAGCTCCAACAACCGAGGCAAGGGACTCCCCCAAGCCCGGGGAGCAGCGCCCTAAGGAGATCTGAGGGCGAGCACCAAGCGCTGCCCGAGGGAACGCGGCACGAACACGCCATAGCAGCCGCCGCCTCTCCCCCCACGGCGGAGTCACTTGGTACCTCCCCCCCACCCCCAGCAGTGGTTTCACCCTCCCGCCTCATACACTGCGAGGGGCGTGGCCTCGCCTTCACTGTTTCCCCGCCCCTTCATACATATTCATGAAGGAGAGACGGGCGGCCCCAATGGGGAGGGGCGGTGCGCCCAAGCCCCGCCCCCAAACGATGAATATTGATGAGGCGCGCCGTGGCGTCGGGGGCGGCGCGGGCGGCGATTGGCCGGGCGCGGCGGCGCGCGGTGACGCGCGCGGCGGCGGTGCGGGTCCCGATTGCTGCAGCCGCTTGTCAGTGTGACGAAGATTGGCACCCGAGGTAAGCGCTGTCACTCAAACCCCGCTCCAGCCCCGCCGTCCATCACGGCGCGCCCGCCGCCCGGGCACGGCCGCACCGGGGAAGCGGGAGAGCGGCTGGGGAAGGGGCGAGCGGGGCGGCGGCGGAGAGGGGAGAAAGGGGCACCCGCGCTCCGCCGCCGCTCGCACGGACCGGGGGGTTTAAGGGGCGGTGGCGGGCGCGGGGAGGGGAAGGAGGGGAAGGAGGGGAAAAGCGGGGAGGGGGGGGGGAGCGAAGCGAGGAAGGTTCTGGAACGGCCGCCGTGCGCCCGTTGTGTCCCGGCGGGGGCGCGCGCGGGGAGGGGACGCGGGAGCGCGCGCGGGTCCGCGCGGAGGAGGAGGAAGAGGAGGAGGAGGAAGGAGATGGGGGGAATGGGATGGGGGGGGAAAGGCAGGAGGGAGGGAGAGGAGGCGACGCGATGCTTAAAGGGGCAGCGCCGTGCTGGCCGCTCCTCGGAGGCGGGGGGGGGGAAACGGGGGGCGCTCCGCCGCCGCCCCTCGCCGCGGGCCCCGCGGCCGGACCGCGGGCTCGGAGCGCCGCGGCAGCTGCACCCCGCTCTCCTCCTCTTCCCTCCTGTGATCCCTCCACACCTGCCCTGCGGGGACAGCAGCGAGGGGATGCGGTGGTGCCCCTCGACCGCTGGCCCGGTTTGGGGGCGCTCCCCCCCCCCGCCTCCCGCGTTCATAGAAAGCGAAGCCGGTTCGGGGTTCTCCCTCGTTTGTGCCGCCTTTTCGGTGTGACCCCATGGTCTCCCGGCTGGGTTGTGAGCAGACACCTTCTCCACAGCCAGGCCGAGGGTTGCCGGGTGTTTACGCGGCCGCAATTAGGAGCTGAGACTTGACACTGCCCAGAGGCCCTGCTGGGGATGTGTGTAAACAATAATAAATCAAGCGCTGGTTTTATCCCCGAGTATTGCCTCAGTGAGCCACATGTCCCGGGTCTCATGGAGCAGTCCATGGCTTTCCTTCGGTCCCACCACACTGGAGTTGGTCAATTAACAATATAACTATATAAGTAGTTAAAACGTCTGTGTGATAATTCTCTGTACAGCTTATTGCTATTTTTTAAAATACAATTTTTAAAATATTTTCTTTAGTCTTAAGTGCTGATATGTAGTGTAATTTTAGAGACAGGTCACGGTATTCGTTTATTTTTTTAATCTGCTGCTGCTGACGTTTTTAGTTCCTTTTTGCATTTTTGTCTGAGTAAATGACTGGTCTGGTTTAGGGAGGGAGAATCGCAGAATGGTTTGGGTTGGATGACCTGAAAGATCATTCTGTTCCAACCCCCTGACATGGGACTCCTTCCACTATCCCAGGTTACTCCAAGCCCCATCCAGCCTGGCTTTGAACACTTCCAGGGATGAGGCAGCCACAGCTTCTCTGGGCACCTTGTTCCAGTACTTTACCAGTCTTGCAGTAAATAATTTTTTCTTAATATGAGGCACTATATCTGATATGAAACTGAGAAAGTGAATGAATTGCTGGTTTGTTTGCTTTATTTTTTTATTGGTTTTTTTTTTTAACACTTGCACTTGAGACTCCAGGCAAGATTAATTTTTTGTCCTTGCCCGTCTTTGGAATAGGTTGTGTGCATTCCATTAAACAGATCCCAGGAACAGGGAACATGAGCATTATGTTCTGGATGTTGGAAAACACTTGGGCCAAGATTCTGTGGAGGATAGCGAGAGCGTGTTGGTCACTCTCAAAGTATGCTAAATATCTCATTTAATTTTTTGGTTTTTAAACTAAAAAAATCTTTAGTTTTTACAAAAAACGTGCACATTTAGTTAGTTCCTAATTTTATTCTCCAGTACGCTCTTGCAAAAAAATTTCACCAGTGTAGATTGTTTGATGAGAATTGTAACAACTATGGCTTAGGATGTCCACACATCTTGCTGTTCTCCGTACTGTGAATACACTCACAGATTATTCCCTGTCCTCTATGGGATATATATGAAATATAACCTGTTTATGGGCTGCCCGTGCTATGGGGTTATATCCCTTTAGCTGTAGTTGTATGTGTGGTTGAAGTGAGATGGCTTCTGCAGCTGGAAGGATTCTTGGTCAGTCCCTGTTAGCTGCATGTGTGAATTTTATGGATTACACTGAACCAGGAATCAAGTTGTGATTGTATCAGAAATACATCCTTACAAGTTTTTTCCAGGCCGGGTCATTGCTACAGTATCAAGGAACAGCAAATGCATTTTGAATGCATTTTCTGTCAAGTAAAATTGCAGATTTATCCAAGTCTGTGTATAATTACATACAGAATCATTACATTCAAGTTTTTCAACATTTCTGAAGGAAAAAATCCCCCAAGCATTTCACATAATCTAGTCAAAAGAATTCTAATTATTCTTCTTATGTGTGTTCTATCTTCAGTTTATGAACTGTACAGTATATTTTTGCTCTTGACTGTCACCACTTGACATATTTTCTTGTCATCTCATAATTAAAGTATCCACAGGAAAATTTCAGTGTAGGTTTTACTGTGTTTTCTTTACACAGTAATCTCCAGTTCAGTGGTGAAAGGCAGGGCTCAGTGTGCTTCAGTCACAGGGTAAAAATGGGAAATCACAGGGTAAAGTAGGGGCTGTTGTGCTGGACTGAAATTCTGAAGGCTCAGGTCATTTCTCATTGATCTCCCCAGTGGATTTGCATTTTTTTTTAATCTGTGCTTACATGTTTTGCTGAAATTTTTCTTGTTACCATCTCCCATATGCTGATAGAAAACCCAAAACTTGTTCACATTTTGAGTACATTGTTGATGTTGTTAGGGTTGGTGGGGATTTTATTTTGTATTTGGAAATTTCACTTTGGCGTGTAAAAAGTCAAGCCGGTATTAAGTGCTTACAGCTTTGATTTGTGCTCTTAATACAATTGGTAATATTTGGGTTAAATAAAAATAACATTTTAAAACTAAGTCCTTGCGGTCTTCTATGATAGGACTGAAAGGAGTTTAGAATGAATGAAATATAAATTTATTTTAAGTGCTTTAGTCTTATAAAATGGTTAGTCTTCTGGAAGCTGTAATTTCTTCCTCAAAATTTTGCATTGCAGCTGTATTTTTCTGTGCTGTAAATGCAGTCCTCTAATAAAGCCCTAATAATTCTGATTGCTACCACAGCAAGTTTGGGAGTGTTCAGGAGCAATTTAATTTCCTGGAAAAGAGTAACTCTTTGGTGAAATTAAGCCCTGTATTAGTGGCCGAGGGTGAATGATCACAGAACCACCACTGTGGCAGTGGAACTGCCTGTTCTAATGGCCATGTTAATGTCCTGAATGAAGCAGTCCAAATTGTATTTCAGAATATTATGTCGTGGTCTGGGAGCCAAATGTTGCCTCTGCAAAACTGGCACATATGTGAAAGCTTACAGTAAAGCAGATTAATATTTTTATTTTGGTCTAAGTAAGACCAAATGCAATTTTTTTTTGTGTGAAATTAAAAATGTTGCAAATGTTACTTCTCTAGCAGCAGCAGCTGGTTACCTCACTTCTCACTTGTTCAAAGAGTCTGTAGGTTTAAAAATGAGAAGTCTCAGAGGGGTTTATTTTGCCACAGCTCAGTGCTGTACAAAATGTAAAACAACTTACTGCTCTTCTAAGCATGAGGATTCCAAGAGCAAGGAGAAAAAGCTGCTGATGGAGTCCTTTCATTTGCTTACTTGATGCCAGATGTTGCCAAAATCATTTACCCAGACGGTTTTAGATCTCCCCAGGGGAATTGAACACTGCAATATTCACACTTGTAGCAGGTTCCTCACTTTGTTCACTGAGGTGGTTTTGTGCCAGAACTGTGGAACAGGCGATTTGTCAGGTAGAACTGGGGGTGGGGTAGAAAATAAAATAATGGCACCATGGATCTAGAAATGCCAATTTTGTTGTTATGGAGCTGTGGCAGGTTTTGATGAAGTTGGTGAGGGGCAGTAACTTGGTTCCCCTGCCAGCAGCGAGGTGATGCCACGTCATGTATGGCACTGAGAGGCAGAAGTTGCTGCTAGAAAGGGAAATAAAACTTAGATCTTGTTCTTGCATGGTTGGTTCTCATCCTTCACACGAGCACATTGTTTGGGGTTTGATGTGGCAGCTGCTCCAGGCCGTGGTGTTCTCATTTTTTAGTACCTAGGTGTACAGAAGAGGTATTTGCTGTTAAACCTCAGGGCTGTTTAAGTCCACGGAGTCAAAAGGTGATTTTTGAAAGTGGGAGCGGAGTGTGATGATCACAGACTGTCCCTTACCCTGCTGTGCCCAGGGATCTGCAGCTTTCTCTTCTGCAGCTGATGGAAAATTCAGGCAAAAAAGTAGAATATGGCAGCTCACTTCTGGTATACTGAAAGAAGGATCCATTTCTTTTAAACCTCCAAATTCCAATTTTTATTTTATTGGTGAGGTTTTGGAATTGCTTGTGTTTTTTCTTGAGGATAGAAGAAGCTAGGAAGTGTGGCTATACTTCACATCCTGCTTTGCTTTTTATGAGTTACACAGCAAACAAAGCAAAGGGAAAAGGATATCATACTTGCTGAAAAATAAAGTCCAATCCTTTTATATTCCAGGGAAACAGAGGCAATTAGAGAACAGAAATTGGATCTTTACACGTGTTTAACATGCCTAGAGAACAGGGGAATGAAAACGTGTGCTGTGTTGTATGTTTACGTAACTAAAGAACTCTGGGTCAGCCTGTGATCACTTAATTTATGTTTTCTAGCCCATTTTTATGTGGTCTGGACTATGATAGCAGCAATACCAAAAGGACCTGGTTATCTTTTGTATTATTATTACTATTTTGAGGTGTTGATTTCAGTAGCGTAGCCCTACTGAAATTTGCCACAATGAATATGTTTGAGCAGCGTTATTCTGCCAACTTTAAAATGACTCAGCATCTTGAGAATGACTCCAAGAGAAAGTAAATATGTTAATTTTTAAGAAATGTGGGATTCTTCTTACTTAGGAGCTTATCAGCAGCTGAGTTGTGGATTTTAG